GGTGACGGAGGGCGCGGGCTGGGTGGCAGTGGGCTTGGAGGAGAGGGGCTGGGAGGAAGCGGAGATGGAGGCAGCGGGCTGGGAGGCTTGGGCGACGGTGGCAGCGGGCTGGGTGGCAGCGGCGACGGAGGGCGAGGGCTGGGTGGCAGTGGGCTAGGAGGCGAGGGGCTCGGAGGCATGGGCGACGGTGGCAGCGGGCTGGGAGGTAAGGGGCTGGGTGGCAGCGGGCTGGGTGGCAGCGGTGATGGAGGCCTAGGGCTGGGCGGCAGTGGGCTAGGAGGCGAGGGACTGGGAGGAAGCGGAGATGGAGGCAGCGGGCTGGGAGGCTTGGGCGAAGGTGGCAGCGGGCTGGGTGGTAGGGGTCTGGGTGGTAGGGGTCTGGGTGGCAGCGGGCTGGGAGGCAGCGGGCTGGGAGGCAGCGGAGACGGAGGCAGCGGGCTGGGAGGCAGCGGGCTGGGAGGCAGCGGGCTGGGAGGCAGTGGGCTGGGAGGCTTGGGCGACGGTGGCAGCGGGCTGGGAGGCAGCGGGCTGGGTGGCAGCGGGCTGGGAGGCAGCGGGCTGGGAGGCAGCGGGCTGGGAGGCAGCGGGCTGGGAGGCAGCGGGCTGGGAGGCAGTGGGCTGGGAGGCTTGGGCGACGGTGGCAGCGGGCTGGGTGGTAGGGGGCTGGGAGGCAGTGGGCTAGGAGGCGAGGGACTGGGAGGAAGCGGAGATGGAGGCAGCGGGCTCGGAGGCATGGGCGAAGGTGGCAGCGGGCTGGGTGGTAGGGGGCTGGGTGGCAGCGGGCTGGGTGGCAGCGGGCTCGGTGGCAGCGGGCTCGGTGGCAGCGGGCTGGGCGGCAGTGGGCTAGGAGGCGAGGGACTGGGAGGAAGCGGAGATGGAGGCAGCGGGCTGGGAGGCTTGGGCGAAGGTGGCAGCGGGCTGGGTGGTAGGGGGCTGGGTGGCAGTGGGCTAGGAGGCGAGGGACTGGGAGGAAGCGGAGATGGAGGCAGCGGGCTGGGAGGCTTGGGCGAAGGTGGCAGCGGGCTGGGTGGCAGCGGGCTGGGTGGCAGCGGGCTGGGTGGCAGTGGGCTAGGAGGCGAGGGCCTAGGAGGAAGCGGAGATGGAGGCAGCGGGCTCGGAGGCTTGGGCGAAGGTGGCAGCGGGCTGGGTGGTAGGGGGCTGGGTGGCAGCGGGCTGGGTGGCAGCGGTGATGGGGGGCGAGGGCTGGGCGGCAGTGGGCTAGGTGGCAAGGGGCTGGGAGGAAGCGGAGACGGAGGCAGCGGGCTGGGTGGTTTGGGTGACGGTGGCAACGGGCTGGGTGGTACTGGGCTGGGCGGAAGTGGCGACGGTGGAAGCGGCGACGGCGGACGGGGACTCGGCGGCATCGGACTAGGGGGCGAGGGGCTGGGAGGACGGGGTGAAGGCGGCAGAGGGCTAGGCGGCGAGGGGCTTGGCGGAAAAGGGCTGGGTGGGAGCGGAGACGGTGGCGGCGCAAAGAAGCCTAGCTTGCCCACGGGGCAGCAATCACACGTTCCACTTTGCACGACGGCATACTTGCAGAAGCCGTTGCCCTCCGCACAGAGTGTCTCCATGGAGGGACACGAGCCGCCCAGCGTCATGCACACCACAGCGCCGTCCGCAGTCGCCAGGTCAAGATTCAGGCCCTGAGGAGGGAGCGACGGAAGGGACGACCAGGAGAACATTAGCATTCCCAACTCCCAAGCATCAGATTTATGTTTCAGGGAGGCAAGCAAGGAACGCATTGTTGTGCTTGTGTTCAACAAAAAGGTGTTCAGGTGTTACTCTCACCGTAAGCTTGATTACTGCCTTTGTATCGTTGGTGGCGTANGGGTCGAATGTGGGTGCCAGGGCCGGTTTTCCATTGACCGTGACCCCCGTCACGGCGCCTTTGCACTGCTTGTTCACGTCCAGCTCGATCTTGTAAAAGTCAATCTTGGGGTCACAGCAGTCCGAACCCGGCTTGGCGCAGT